CTGCCTCACCACCATACCTCATACCTCTGTCAAATGAAGAGAACAGTCTCCTTCTCTCCAGTTCTTTGAGCCTACAACTAATATTTTTCAGTTGTTGTTGTTGTACACAGTACATCATGCACAGACTCTGCCTAGGTGTGAAGTGCCATTCTGGATCTCACACTAGACTGGAACTGGCTTAAAGATAGGGATAAACCTCACCTCCAACAGCTGTGCTTCACTCCTGCACAAGGCTTTGACTCCTGCAATTACAGGAGAAGACATTGGTGTAATCACCGAGTGCACATGAGATTTGTGCATGCTAATTTTATTAATTCCATGCATATATCAAGTTACTCATCTCCTCCTGCCCAATTGGAAGGGATTATCTCAAAAGAGCCTGTGGAAAGGGAGGGAATAATGAGGGAAATAACACGACATTAAATAACAACAAAAACCAAATGAAGTAAGAGCATACTAGAAATTCTAAGGAAAACACTAGGGAGAGAAGGGGGGACTATCCGTTCCCTGGTACCCTAGCTGTGTTTATTTTTCTCAGACAGATATTTCACAATTAGCTTAAGCTAATTTAAGTTGCATCTGCAACCAAAGAAATACTCTTCAATGTGACCATCTGCGTATTTGACCAGCCCTCAGTGATGCTTGCCTCACCAAGTGAAACAATACAAGGAGCTGATCCCACTGAAACCCTTATTTTTACAGGGGGCTGGGTTAGCTTTCAGTGGGGCCAGTTCCCGAGCAGCCAAGTGAGTGTTAGCATTGGTGCTTCTTAGGCAGCAGAAGTATACGGCTGGTGGTGACGGAAGGGAGGAGGCATGACAGCTCCTTTTAGCAGCTTAGACTCATCATGAAGATGCCATTTCAAACTGCACTTTCACAGTTTCCCTAACCAACCTGATACAAAGGCCAGCTGCTGACAATAGTGTTCTCCTCTCCCTCTGCTCACAGCTGTTCTTTCTTCACTTTCATAGGAGGATAAAAGTGCACTGGCTTGCTGTGGGGTCAGCTGTGCATCAGCATCTGCACTAGGATCGTGGGAGGTGAGCACAGAGCAGAGGGCTGCTTCCTTCACAGCAGCTCACCATTTGATCAGCTCAGAGGTGCAGTTAAACTCTGTGCTCTGCTGCAAGCCTATTATGAAAGGTGATGTTAAATTTTTAAGGAGGAAAAGCAAGTGGGTGACTTGTCAGCAACTTCCCAGAAGAAGAAGATGATTCAGAGGCACAGAAACTGAAAGAAGCAGATTGACTTCTCCATCCCAGAGCCTGAGGTAACGGAGGTGAAGAGAACTCAGAAGGCTGTAAAGAAAGCTGAAGATTTATTTAAAAGAAAAGCTTAGGAAATAGTGTAACTGATCAGGTATGATCAATCATGGGAAAAGGATGAAGAGAGAATTTTCTTGCAGTGGAACCTGAGATATTTTTCCATTAGGGTCACTTGTGATTAAGCTTTCATTTGTGTTCAGCACAATAACTTCAACAAGTTCCTGTTGAAGACAAAGGCTGGGGGGGAAAGATGGGAATCTTCTACCTCCACTACTTCAAGAAAATTCAAAATTTTTATGTAGTGCAGCTCTGCTCTACAAAGGATTCATGTAAATGAACAGCAGGGCTCAGTTTCTTAGTAACCGTAGACCAGGGATACTGAGCTTACCTTTCCTTCTTATTTTCAGCCTCACAAATTCAGTTTGGGCTCTGAATATTTGGCTGGACTCTCTCCAACTCATCCCTCCTCACCAGGATAAAGGAATTGCAAGCCAAATTTTGCTCACAGAGCACCTGTGCCATCCATATGCTTGAATAGGTGTAGCTATATAATAATGGCTTTTCTGGGAAATGTACAGTAGGTTCCAGGTTTCTCTCTCTGATATTGGACACTCACAAGCAGCAGGCCTGTTACATAAGAACAGACCAGGTTATACAAACCATTTTCCACTTTCTAAGAGATTCAAACTGCCTTTCCAGTTCAGCTCAGGATGCTCACTCAGGTCGCGAAGGTTGATGGGCAGACCTGACCCCTCCTGTCAAGCTCCTGGCAACTGCAAGGACAAATACATGTCTCTTTTGGATTGTGCAAAGGTCAGGGAAAATAGCCTTTTTCTTTTTCTTTTTTTTTTTCAGAAAAAGGCTGAAATTTTATTATTCACAGAAAGTCAACACCTTTATGAAGAAGTTTTATAGAATTTAGTAAGTTTGAAAGTCTATCTAGAGAGTAGCCTTCAAACCAGCCAGAATTCACAGAGAAAGAGAGCGTATCTACAGGTTTCTAGAGATCAGGTTATGGAATTATACAGCAGGATATAATTCTCTATCCCATTCCATAGGTTAGAAAACTCTACAGACAGGTTTTCTTTTCCTACTGAAATCCATAGAATTTTCTAAGGTAATTTTTTTTCACACTTTTTCCCATGCAGATAATTCCCTGTCACTGCCTTGTATGGAGACCATGTACATCTTTTAGACATCGATCAGACATCTTAGTAAATGTATCACATGTCCACATTAAAGGAAAAAGAAGCCCTGGACAAGCTGACCCACTTGTCCCAATCCTGTAAACAGCACAGAGGGATCATTCGAAGCTACTCTGAAAGTTACCAAAAACATCCAGATTGGTCCTGGAGAGGCACGTGGGAACAAAACAGTTTGGACAAAAAGCAACAAGCCACCCAAATCTTCTCCCACAAAGGAACATACTCAACCAGTATTGTTTCCCTAAAGGCTTTTTAAAAAAGAAATAAGAAAAAACCTAAGACTTACTCATTAGTCATCTGCTGAGGTGCTCTTGGCACTTGTCCTGTCTCCCTGTTCTGGTTAGTGTGATTTCCTAGGCCCTGCTCCATGGCTAGACCCAAAACAGTTCAGGACAATGAGCTAGCACTGGCCCTACAAGAACTGTAGGAGATCATCTTTATCAAGCTCTCCTGCCCAGGGGAGGTTATAACCTGAATGTGTAAACATCTTTAAAGAGACATTGAAAGGTCATCATTCAGGAGAAGAGCCACCTCCTTAAAGAGATGTAAGCAAGCCCAAGTAAATGGGCAAAAAAAGCTGGTCACAAAATTTTTCATCTCTTACCTACACCAAATTACCAGTTTTACTTAAATATCCTAAAGGTCTTTCCTTTAGAGGTGCAATGGAGAGAGAAGACAGATCCACTTGAAGTGGACTTGGCTGGAAAGACGTGGGCATTCACAGAGGAGACCCTCTTCATGCAGCTGCCTGTGTCAGTGGGAGAAAGCCGAGTGGGGTAAAGTTCTACCTGAGAGTCCTATTCGTACTTTTCATAATTCCTGGAGATAATCTGCTTTGCTTGCCAGGAGCTGTCTGAATTCTGACACTTGATGACATTACTTCAGTCACATTTTATTCCCTTCAGACATTCTTCCCTGCAAATATGCTGCATCTAAACCTGAATTGGGAAAGAAGTATATATCATCTTCCTGTCATACAAAAAATACACCAAGCTTGAAGAGGAGGCAAAGAAGAGACAAATGTATCCTAAATTAAACAGAGTAGATATGAGTCAGTGAGAAAGAGTTGCCCCTGGGACATTGTGGCAGTGTCCAGGCAAATTCCTTTCTCTAGCTCATCAGATCTAGCATCTGATCTAAGCCCATGCTTTGCTGATGCTTCCTTGCAAGAGGTATTGCAATTAAAACTCAGCACTTGGGTAAATCTCTGCTGGTTCTGTTCAGACCACCAGCAAAACCAGTAGCATTGTACAATGTTTCCTTTTGCTTTTCCTCCTGTTTATTTTCTGGTGAGACCTTGAGAGGAGACAGTTTGTTTAATTTCCTTTCAAAACCTCTCCCCCCAAAAAGGTCTGTAGAAACATGCAAGGAACTGCAAGAGCCGATTCGCCCCAATTAATGAACCATATTTTTTTAACAAGAAAACCCCAGAACTCGTACAAATAGGGAAAATTCCTGAAATCAGCTTTCTCCACTCCTAGAAAAGAGATGGGAGGTAAAGCAAACACACCAAGTACTGAGCATTATTTACACTGCTTGAGGGTACGAAAATAAAAGCAGAAAATATAGGCAGGAAGAAGAAAGAAACAGGAGGACAAAACTTCCTCTCACTCCCTTTCCTCCAGCTACATTTGGCACTGAAGAAGGTGCGGCAGAAATGGGAAAGGTGCAGTATTTCTGCTAAGTGATGACTGGAGTACAGGCCTTTCACACTATTAACCGCTTTGACTGGAACACTTACCCAGCAATATAAAAAGATTAAAAAAACCAAAAACTCGAAACTTCAATGTAAACTGGATATCTGTGATCTCATAGCTGTACACGCTGTTCCTGGATCTGCTGCCTACTCTCTGGATCTCCCCACACTGCTGGCAAGGGAAAAGACAGAAGGATACAGCAGCAGCACCAGCATGGACATGTTCTCAAGCCCCCTGCAAGAATCAGCTTTTTATGACTGTCTCCATAGCTGAAAATGTCCGTTCCACTGGCATCCAGTGCCCCATGCCAAAAGGACACACCACTCTTGCCAGCTCCTGGGAAGGTAGAAATGTCAAAGAGAGAAACAAATAAATGAAAGATTAGAAAGAGACCAAAGCCTGAATATCTGAGTGCAGGGTTAGATTCATATCTGCATCCATTCTTCCACGACACAGCAGAGCTGTGCCCACAGAGCCACCCCATCGGTACTGCAGCACAGCCTGTGCCCATGGAGCGCAGTTTCTATCCATCGAGGCTACAATTTCATACCAAGGTGGTACTGAGGATCTGGTTACACAGAAAATCTTTCATCTCAGTACAGTCAGTATCGAACACAGCCTTATCCTCTGTATAAGCCACAATCACAATACTAGTGCAATCTACATTTGTAAAGCCATATCTTCATTTTAAACCAGTTTATATTCATCTATTATATCAAAGGGGACCGTGTCCACAGAGCAACATCCATTCTGCCAAGACGGATTCTAGCCACATAGCCGCTCCCTATACCAAGCCTTTCTCATCAGCCACATCCCCAGTACCAGAAGAGTTTGTATCCACAGTCAAGACTTTGTATTAAAAAGACTTACAAATGATTTACCAATCCAGATCTCTGCAAGCACCTCACATGTGTTGCCCAGAGCAATGAAAATTAAAACTGTATGTCCATGGTGGAGGGGAAGAAGAGGTCTTCATGTGTCAATCACTTTGACATTTCCCTCTTGTTTAAAAAAATAAATGTCAGGAATGGAAGGTATGTCTGCTAGGAAGTATGGGGAGCTGGAGAGAAGAATCCCTGTCAATTCATTCCTTGCCACCCCTCTCTTTGTTCAGCAGTGATGAGAACATCACAGAAAGCATCAGTTGTTTGTTTCTCCCTCTTCCTCATCAAAAGACTGCACCCCAGAGGAGGTGACATCTGAGACTTTGCGGCTCAGTGCAGCATGTTCCATCTCCTCTCGAGGAGACAGTGATTCCAGGTCCCGGCACACTGCATCATCCTCCTCTGGAGAGGGCTTCTTGTTTAGGAGAGGAGCCTTCTCCAGCCGTGGGTTCCCTTCATCCTCAATGTGGTCCTCCATGTATGTGCTGGACTCAGCCCCACCCCCACTCTGAGCAGTCTGCAAGGGCCACACGTGGACCAGCCCCGTGCTCTGGATGAAGTTCTGCTCCTGCCGCTGTTGCTGCAGCTGTTGCTGCTGGAGAAGGCTGTTCTGAATCAAAATGCTTTCCTGAAGGTTTGTCTGGGACTCGTCAAAATTCTGGCCTAAGTAGGAGCCAGTTGCTGGGGAAGCAATGAGGGACTGGTCACTGGTCTCCCAGGCGTCGGACGAACCTAAGCAATACATGCCCTGCGAGACGTAGGAATGAGGCCAGCTGTCATACTGCGTCTGGGCCATATGCTCTGCAAGTAAAGGAGTGAAACAACACACAGTTAGACACCTTCTCTAGGCCGAGCTGGCTCACTCAGATAGACAGCTGGAGTGGCTGTGCGTGGCACTGTACGGCACAGGGTAGATAGATAAGTCCTTTAGAGGGGAGGAGGGTGAAGAGAAAAGACAGTTCTAGGCAGCAGGTAGATGAACTTGATTATACCTACAACTGACTGCAAGAGCTGGTAGCTTTCCACAGTTGTGCCCTAAAAAGACAAAGGAACTGGGCTTTGGAGCCTCTCTGTTGAGATTAGACTCCTTGGAAAGTTCCACAAAAAGGTGATGCCTCTGTTAGATCCCAAACCCAAAAACTGAGCCTACAGAATAAAACAGGGTAGAGGGAAAG